GAAGTTAGGGACAGGGTTTGAGGGGGAAATGGGACCTGAGTCACTAAAATGGGGTGACACTGGGCCGTCTGTCAATCAGCATTCTCTCCCCTGCCTGCCGGAGCCTTCTGTCCCCAGTGCCTGACACTGACCAGCCCAGGTCTGAGCCACGCCCCCCGACCCTTGGGTCAGTGAATGTCAGGGTCCACCGCCACCTTGCTTTCTCCATTCTTCAGCCTGGCCCATCCCGGGGGAATCTGGAGTGCTCCCGGGGCTCTCTTCCCTTAAAAAAAAAATGGAGCTGCAAGCCCAGAAGGATGTGGGCCCTGCCTCCTCCAGAGGGAATGCCCCCCCCCCCCGCCACTCCACATACACTTGCATGCTACATATACTTGGTTGAAACTTCTGGAATGAAAGGTTCTGGACAGGAGTGGAGCCTGGCATAGACTCAAGCCCCAGGCATCCCCCAGGAGTTGGTGGAGAACCGGATTCCCTAGAGAAGACAATCTGGTCAGAGAAAGAGAAGTTCCAGTGTGACTGCTGCTCACCACAGTGACCCAGAGCCCAGTGGCAGGATGCCTGCCTGTGCCCTGACAAGTCCCACCTGGGAGAGCGTCTGTCCTGCCTCCAGGCCAGTTCAGGCCTGCCATTGTACACAACAACCCTTGTTTCCTCCTCTAACAAGCAGCTCAGTATCCAACCACCATGGGAACCCAGTCCAAGAGGCACAATGGAGAAGAAGCTGCCGAAGCAAGCGTTTGGAAAGGACAGAGATCACAGCAGGCAAAGCAGCCATGAAGATGTGTCTGCAAGGAGTCCTTAGCTGGGTTCAGCAAAGAGAGGCCGGTGCAGGTGGGCGGAGCACTTCCATAAAGCTGCCTGTGGTGGATAGATGGCTTCTGATTTGACATTGGCAACAGAATAAGGGACTGCAAGTTCAATGAATAGTCTCTGGCCAGAAAAACAAGGTCAAATGCTTAAGTTTCTGCACTTCCAGTGGTTCCTGGTATTTCCAGCTGAGTGGACACCTTTCTGTGACCAGTGGGTGCCACCCCACCTTCTGCTCTGCGTGAGAGATTGTGTTGGACAAAGAGCTTCAAGGAAACATGCCCCCAGGAAGGGGGTGTTGGTTCAAGGCTTCCCATACACTTGGCTGCACCTTTATAGCCTCTACCTTTATTCTTACTATATTCTTCTTGGCTGTACATTCGTTGTCTTTATTCTCATTTTGGCTATTTTTCTATTGATCCGCGAACAGAGCATGTTGTATCTTTCCAGTCCAATAGAGACGGCTTCTCTAAGTAATAAAGACTAAGGCCAAAGATTAAATGTGGGCAATGCCCCAAAAAATCTATCATCTGATGTGACACTGCCTCCAGAAATTCCTACAACTTCACAAGCGGTTTTGCAGCTCACGCATAGTAAATATAGAGACTTAAAATTTCCAGATATGTCCAACAGACAAAATCAATGAATTAAACTAAGTTAGAAAGAGTTATCCCAGTAGTTCAGGGAGTTCTAAAAAAGAAGGGACCTCTGATTATAAAAGAAAAAGAAAGATTCTCCCAACAGTTATGATTAAGTTTAGTCCAACTTATGTTATAGGGAATAGATGGTGGTTTCACACAAAATATAAAGTTAGTAACATATTTCCTGAACCAACCAAGAACCATTTCTTTATACAGGAGCTTATAAAGATGAAAATAGTTGGATAAAAATAAAAATAAAAAGAGTACAATATAAGTACAGCCCTGTTTTAGGTTTGTTAATTATTAAACATAAAAAGGCTGAATAGATGACACATTCTATTAAACAATATGCTAGACTTGTTTCGCACCACTTAGCTTAAACAGTTGGTGGGATAGTCATCAATTTTCATGTAATTCATCAATGCTTTGCCTTTAAAAAAAATTGATTATGTGCTTAAATAAACAAAGAATCTATGTCACAATCACACACTGTATAAAAATGTTAATTCTCCTCAATAAAGATACACTCAGATGCAACTCTTTGGAGTCTGTGTCTGTTTGTCACTTCGCCGACTCCTTGCCCACCTATCCCGAGATCCCTGTCCCGTCGGTCCCAGTGCTCCGGCCAAGCTGGTCCGTCGCACCCCCCCACACACACACTGTCCTTGCTCCCCCAAGGTTTGGGTGGCCCCTCCCTTCCCCCTTCAAGGGCCTGCAGACAACCTGCACTGGGCGGCTACCAGCACCAGAGCAAAGTCCCCCGGGCGAGGCTGCCATCCACCCGAGGGTCCCGAGCTCCATCAGGCAGACCTTAGCCTTGCTGTCCCAGCAGAGGGAGGACAGAAATCCCGTACCCACTCAACAAAGGAAAGATGCCCTACGGTGTAGGAAGAGACTGGGTTTCTTGAAGTCACTGTATGCAGACGTGGAATCCTAGCTCCGCCTCAGTCCCAGCCCCCCAGTTCATGCCAAATCACAGGTCCTTGAGATCCACGCATGAAAAGCATTTCAGGGCATCTCAGGTCAAGGTGAAAGTTTTAGCACAGATTTATTGAAGTAGAAAACAAGAGAAATATTTTCTAGGACCCCGCATCCCCTGGCAGGAAATGGAAGTCCAACAATCAAAAGCTTTTCTTCCTCCTGAGCTAAACAAAACAGTTTAGCAACTCCTAATCCTTACACCGGGACTTGGGGTGGGGAGGATGGGTGAGGCCCACCCCAAACCCAGGTACCCTGCAGGACTTCCGTGTGCTAGACACACCTATTATCCTTTCCCTTTTTACCAGTCCAGAAGAAAGAGTTCTCAGATCTTTACCATCCCAAAGGACAAGGCAGATTTGCCCCTCTGAAGTCTCTCCTGACTTACTGTCTAGAAGAGGGCGTGGTGGGAAGAAAACTTAACTGCTTTCTCATGTTTACGTCTGAGTCTTGCCCCGTTGATATTTGTCAAAAGTAACTGTTTCCCTGTCTCCTTATCTACCTGTGCTGCGTCGTTCCTTGCCAAGGGTCTTGTTTCTTTTCAGGTCTTTTATGTGATTTTTAGCACACGGATAGAATCAAGGTTGCTATAGAACACGGATGTTTCTCGTGTTCTTGTGCACTGGCCCCTTACCAACTAGAATCTGCTCCCTGTCATCTAGAAAAGTCATTAGTTTGGTTCTACACTGCCCTGTCTTAGTACACGTGGTGTTAGTGATCTTAGTCTTCTTGACCCTGGTTTCCTAGTAGTGTCTCTACTAAGAATGACTGACTTCTAGATCTCCTCTCTCCTTGTATTCGATCTTAACTTCGTACCTTAAAGACTGGTCTTAACTGCCACTTTTCCAGTATGTTTGTCACCCTGTAAGACCAAGGCCACCACCCTCACTCGCCTCGTCGTGTGTCATTGATGAATGTGACTGCACACACACCGGTGTGCCTCTCACCCCCTCGGCAGGACTTCTCATGTGCAACGTGGCCAGTGCCCAGCTGTTTCTCCTCCAGAGCTGTCAGCGGTGGCTCAGGCTCTTCCCAGACACCGGCTCTTGGCTTGGAAAGATCTACTATCCTGGGTGCTCAGCACCTTTTCATTTGGCTTGCTGCATTAGTGTGCAGGGCGTGTGGCATCTCTGCAGGCAGAGTCGGCTGAGCTAAGGGATTGGAATCAGTGTCCCGGAGCTCAGAACACCGGCAAACTCACCCCTGGGCACAGAGGTGAGCACCAGCTACCCTTTCCAGTACTGACCATGTCCCGGGCTAGTGCTTCTCAGAAAGCAACTGCACCCTGCATGTTGATCTCAGGAATTAAGCACAACTTGTCCCAGTGTATGAAAGAAGAGGCAGGTCCCTGGTGGTTACCTGGCAAAGTGTAGCTAGGAACCCAGGGGCATCTACAGCAAAGCCTTGCTCGGTGTGTGGATCTGAGGAAGGGCAGGGCTCTCTAGAAGACAAGGCCCCCTGCAGCCCCGGGGTCCTTTTCTGTGTCTTCCTGGCGGGGATCACCCTGCTCTAATAGGCCCCACCTTGGGGGCGTCGGCCCCTCCTCCCCCGCTGACTCCTCAATCATAGCCCTCCTGATCTTAGTGTCAAGGATCCAGTTTTGAGGCTGGCAGGGTTCTTTGGCTCCAGGATCTCTAGGGTTGGGCTCAGAGACTGCAGCTCTTAGGAATGGCTTTCTGGGCCCTCTAGCCTGCCCGGGGCTCCAGAGCAAGGGAGGGCCCAGCCGCAGTCAGTCCTGTGACCTGGTCCTGGGGGCGGAGCCTGTCCCTGCACTGATTACCTGCCTCCCGCCCAAAGCCCCTCACCCCGCACTGTGACAGCCCATTCGGCCTGCACTCCCCGAGGTGGACGCATCTCTGTTCCTGCTGCCCAGAGCGTTGACCCTGAAGAGAGCCAGAGCCAGCCAAGGCCACTGACTGCTGGAGCCATGGTAGGGCCCGTGGGGTGCCAGTGGGTACAGCTCCAGGCGGGCCCCGGAAGCTGGGTGTGGGGAGATAAAACTGAGCCAAGCCTGAGGCCCTGGGGTGGACTGGGGGAGGTGCAGGGGTGCTAGGCTAGGCCTGGGAGGCTCAGGCCTGGGCTGGACTCCTGTGCCTTGTTGTGTGAGAGCTTGGGGAAGTTCCTTTTAGCATTATTCAGTTTCACTACTACCAGGCCTAAGTTAGGTATGAGACCGAGAAGAGGCCAATGTAGTATCTGTCCAACTAAGGGAGCGTTAGCCCGGGACTCCAAGCTGAGGCTTAGAAATCAGGGAACTGCCCTGCCCTGGAGCTGCTCCGACCAGCCCCAGCCCCGGGCTCCCCTGGGCAGCTACAATCCTTCTACCCGGCCCTGAGCAAGACATCCAGCAGGCCGAGTCCTACTTTCTCAGACCCCACCCCTCACCTCATCTTGGCCTAAGAATGGACAGAGCTTTCCGTGGTCTGTTCATGGCCCGACATGGCCCCATGTGGCTTCAGAGCTTCCGACATGCTTTGATCTTCTACTTGCCCTGACAGCTGGGGGCAAAGGGGAGCTGGGCCTCACTCTGTGGCTGGCTGCCATGATGAGTGGGGTGTGGGGTGGAATTCGGACATGACCCGGATGCTTGCCTGCTCAGACCTGGCTTGTTGCCTGATACAGGTCCACGGACACAAAGGAGTCCAGTTCCAAAACTGGGCGAAGACGTATGGCTGCTGCCCAGAGATGTACTACCAGCCCACATCCGTGGAAGAGATCAGAGAGGTGAGTGTTCATCTCATGAGCTCACCAGGCCCAGATGCCCAGCCCCGGAGGCCATGAGCAGGAAACCAACAGTGAAAGTGGATGGGGTAACTTAATGTGACGCCAGGCATCCAATCATCTCCAGCATTACCTACTGCCTGAAATAGACACTGGAGAAACAAAACTCTAGGCATTGTCCGGCCCTGGAAAACCTTGGTGCTCAGGTGGGATGCGGACCGGAGGTTTTGTGGCCAGCCTGAGAAGCTGAGGCTTAAACACAAACAGAAGGAATGGGCATGGCTCCATGGAGAGAGCATGTGAGGGCCTGGGTTCTAGCCCCAGTATTGCAGAATAAAAACAGGAAAGAAAGAGGAAGGAGGGAGGGAGGGAGGGAGCAAAGGAGAGAGGGAAAGAGGGGGGAAGGAAGAAAGGAAAAAAGGAAGGAAGGGAGGGGGAATGAGGGAGGGAGTGAAGAAGGAAGGAAGGAAAGCCAGAAGGAAGGAAGGAAGGAAGGAAAGAAAGGAAGAGAAAGAAAAGCAAGCCGGTACTGGTGGCTCACAACTGTAAGCCTAGCTGCTCAGGAGGTTGAGATCTGAGGATTGTGGTTCAAAGCCAGCCCAGGCAGGAAAGTCCGGGAGGCTCATCTTCATTAACCACCAGAAGTGGTGGTCACTTGATAGGATGGATGATAAGCACTGGGGTCCCAGCTCAACAGGCCGGGTCTCTGAGGCCTGGGGCACCTATGCCCCCTTCAGGCTGGGCCGGGCCCTTGCACGCTCTCTGCCCCCTTCAGGCTGGGCTGGGCCCTTGCACGCTCTGGCTTCTCCGAGAAAGGCCCGCTTCCCACTGTCTTCCTTGTCTGGCAGGTGCTGGCGCTGGCCAGGCAGCAGAACAAGCGGGTGAAGGTGGTGGGTGGAGGTCACTCACCCTCCGATATCGCCTGCACCGATGGCTTCATGATCCACATGGGCAAGATGAACCGAGTCCTGAAGGTGCTGCTGCCCTTGTCTGCCCCCTCCCCAGACAGTTCCCTGAGAACCCCCCGATTCCTGGCCCACTCCTGCGCACCCCCACCTGAGCCCCCCTCTCGGGCTGCCTCTCGGGTCTGCCCAACCCCGACAGCCATGGAGACTCTCTCCCAGAGCCTCCTCTCCCCTTTGCTAGAACTGGAGTAGAAAAGCTGACTCCCAAAAGGTCCACTCACAAGGAACCCACAAGAGCCCCAAGTGGGGCTCAGCTTAATTTAGAAATGGAGACCGGAAATCAGAGAGGGTCAGCGACTCAGCTGGACATAGATCTAGGACTGAGCCCGCTCCTCGCGTGGGCATTGTTACTCTTTTCCTAGCCTCCCCTGACCTGTAGGTTTTGCTGGGTGAACTCCCCTCCCCGCAGCCCGCCAGCGGGGCTTGGCGTTCCTCTCTTGTTTTCTTCATTTGCTCAAGCTGACCCTTTGTGCCTCTTAGGAAGATATCCTAGCCAAGGCCTCAGTCGTGGCAGTCATTAACTCTGATTGCTAATTAGTGAGGACTGGGCGCCAGCAATCGATTTTCTCCAGCTCTGTCTGTGTCCCGGGTCAGATGGACGTGGAGTCAAACTCTCCTTTGGCTTCTGCCGCTGACATTGGGTGGCCTTGGGCGAGTGCCTCCAAGTTCTTGGATCTCAGGAGTCACCCCTGTGAAATGTAGACTGTCCCGGCGGGCCTGGGCGCTGCTGGGCGGGGCGTGACACCACACCCAGTCGGCACCGCAGGCACCAGGCAGAAGTTAGGTGTCTGCTCATTGCCCTGGGCTTTGTAGCCTTTGCACAGGTGCAGGTTGTCCTGCGAGAGCAAGGGGAGAAAGCCACTCCATGTAGAGAAGTCGACACCCTGAAGGCCCTGAGGCTCGTTTCCTGCCTCCCTTGCCTAGCTTCACCATCCCAACCTGCTGGGCCCAGAGCCCAGGAGGCTGCAGAAAGCCCCACCCTTCCCATGCCATGTGACCCTCCTCCCTGGATTTGCAAACATCTGCATAAAGCATCCCCGAAGCACCACATCTCCAGGCTGGGCATCCTTTTGACCACAGGAGATGGACACATACCTGAAGAGCCTGGGGGGGACTGGGGGACAGTGGGAGGGTAGCCTGTCTCCTCCCAGCTTGCGTTGGCTCTTGCAGGTGGACAAGGAGAAGAAGCAGGTGACGGTGGAGGCTGGCATTCTCCTCGCTGACTTGCACCCACAGCTGGACAAGCATGGCCTGTCCCTGTCCAAGTAAGAGCCCTCTCTCCCGTGGGGGGGGGCGGGGCGGGGCAGCACCTGCTGCTCTAACGTAGGCCCCGCCCTGGAGGACCCAGCTGGTGGGAATTTCTCAGAGGAACCTTTTTCTCAGGAACCCGTCTTCCCCATCAAGGTGCTTATGGCCCATCCTCCATGGGCTCAGGGAGTGTTACATGGAATTAGCAAGAATTGCACCCAACTGAGGCTGAGCATTCAGTAATAGGCTCAGACAGAGTGGGGCTCTCGTGGACAGAGTGTTTCTACAACTTTACACCTACCAGCTGGAGATCAAAACACAAGGCCGTGCCAAGTAAGCTGTGAGAGGGTCAGGAGCGCAGTCCGACGAGTCGGGGTCTTCCTGGCTCCCCTGCCCGAGGCTGCTCTGTCCTCTCAGAAGGAAGCATCAGTGTTAGCTCAGTTTCGTACCAAGGGATTTCCTGCGGAAAGGGGTCTTAGGGCCTCCGAGCATCTCAGTCAGGCCTCCATCGACACTGGCCTGTGTTCCCACTCGCTCATATTGCAAGGTTAGGGGAGATGTGGGGTGAGGCTGCGGGCAGAGGCTGAGCAAACCCTTCTCCCCTTCAGGCCCCCCTCACTCTATGCAGGTGAGTCTAATTGCTCTCCCTCTTGTCCCCACAGCCTGGGAGCCGTGTCAGACGTGACGGCAGGGGGCGTTATTGGGACTGGGACGCACAACACTGGCGTGAAGCATGGCATCCTACCCACCCAGGTAAGTCTGCTGCCTCCACCGGCGGCTCGGGCCCAGCGCCAAGCGCCCCTCCGCCCTCAGCCCCCTCAACGCCACTGTCCGCAAGGGTCCAGCTTGAGGGACTGGCTAAGAGACCCGGGTTGGGACTCAGGCCTCGCGCCCCTTTTCATGGAATATAATCACGCAGTTGTGTTGCCTAAAGTCTCCGGATGTTGTTGCTGTGACGTTGCCAGTTCAAATGAAGAGTCCACTCAGCCGGGGGTGGGGATGCACACCCATCATTGTCGGGGGAGAAGGATTACAAGGCAGAGGCCAGGCCACATTAGCAAGACACCATCGCAAAAACTAAACACAACATAAAGAGCTGGAGACGTGGCTCAAGTGGTCAATGTTTCCCTCCCATGCTTAAGGCCCTAGGTTCCATCCCCAGCCCGTGGAGAGAGAGAATCAATCAGGGTATGATCACAGGTACAAAACACAAAGTGGTGGCCAGCCATGAGTGACTCAAGATGTCCTTTGTCAGCATCTACCTTTGTTGAGGGCAAAAGAAAAAGGAGGGGCGGGGCCTTTAACTTTCTCTACTGGGTAGGAAGGACCCGATGTGGAATCCTTCCACGGCTTTGCCATCGGCTCCTCACAGTGGGGCTGGCTTTCCAAGACAGCGCAGTGGTAACTGGAGGTGAAGCAGCCTGAGAGCCGCCCCACAAGATTTGCCCCAGGTCGTAGACCACTAGCCAGGATTCACATATCAAGCTGGTGTTGATCTCATGATCAACAGAGGAGGAAAGTCCTTTGGGGAGACCACACATCAAAGTGCACACAGAACTTACTGGCCACTTCTCCTTGCAAGCCTAGATGAGCAAGCTTGATAGGAAAAGTGGGGCCGGCCGTTAGACCTTACCCGTGATACCGACGGGAGATGTGGGTGAGCTCACTGATGAGCCTGGACCTCTTGTGAGTCCATCACCCCCCCAAATCCATCAGCATGCAGCTGAGACTTTAGCATAGGAGCCTCGGAAACATTTCAAATTCCAGCCGTGACCACAAGGAGCGGCACCTGCCGTGCACCAGGCCCTTAGGTGATTCAGGACATCTTCTCATGTGGTCCTTGCCGACTTTCTGAGGTCTTATTCCTGTTGTTCCTCCTCTCTTCACGGAGGAGGAGACAGAGATGTTAAAAATCATGCCCAAAAGCCAGGCCCCAGTGGCTCAAGCCTATAATCCTAGCTACTCAGGAGGCTGATAGTTGAGGATCTCCATTTGAAGCCAGTATGGGCAGGAAAGTTTTTGAGACTCTTATCTCCAATTAACCACCAGAAAACCAGAAGTGGAGCTGTGGCTCCAATGGTGGTGCACTAGTCTTGTGCAAAGAAGTTCAGAGATAGTACCAACCAAGGCCCTGAGTTCAAGGACTGGCATGCATGCACGCGCGCACACACACACACACACACACACACACACATACACATGCACACACATACACATGCACACACACACACACACATGCACACAAATCATGCCCAAGATCCTAGCTGGCATGCACATATGCACACATGCATACACACACACACACACACACACAAATCATGCCTAAGATCCTACCTCTCATAAATACACAGCCCTACCGGTCACAGGCTTTTAGATCTTTTTGTGAAGCATTTCCCAGGTGAGCTCTCGTCTGTTGCTCTGGATCTAGCTTTCATAAACAGTCATCACGAAGCAGAAACTCTCTCCCCCAGCTGGCCACCCTGCCCTGCTTCTGCCACTTCCTCCTCTTGCCTTTGGTCGCTGTTAATCGGAATTAGTTCAACTGTAACTGTTCTCTCGCCCTGAGCACCCTGCCACCAACTACACATGTCAGAAGCAATTTCCATCCAAATTAGCAAAGAGCGGAGCGTGGAGAAGGGCTGAAGCAGCAATGAGAGCCGTCCCCTCGGGGAGGAGGGTCAAGGGGAGACGCTGGTGTTTTCCAACTCCATTTCCAGCTGAGCGGCTGAGGGCTTGCAGAGACCCACAGTTTCTGACTGGGTGTGGCTGGTCAGGAGGACACGGCCCCTTCTTCGGGGCCACCCTGTGTCACCAAGGAGGGACATATTCAGTCTGATTGTGGGGAACCCATAATCTAGGGCGGTGAGGGTCCCCAGGGCTGGTATGACCCAGAGGCACACAGGCCCTCATTTTGCCTCGCTAAAGTGAGCGCTTCCAGGAGAGATCTTGGCTCCTTTGCAACCTGCCTGTCACCTGGCCGTCCTCCGGCGTGTCCTCCCTTCTGAGGACAAGCCTGCGCGTGGGGGAAGCTTCTGGCCAGCGTAGGGGCCAGGGCTGTGAAGTGTGGTTCTTCTCCACGGCCAGGTGGTGGCGCTGACCCTGCTGACGGCCGATGGAGTCCTTCTGGAATGCTCCAAGTCCAGCAATGCGGACGTGTTCCAGGCTGCGCGAGTGCACCTGGGCTGTCTGGGCGTCATCCTCACCATCACCCTGCAGTGCGTGCCTCAGTTCCACCTGCTCGAGACGTCCTTCCCCTCCACCTTGAAGGAGGTGCTGGTCCCTGGCTCCCCCTTCAGCCTCTGGATGAGGACTGGGCCTCCGTACCCCCTCCTCGATCAGGAGGGATCCTGGAGACAAACCAGCTCCATTGGGATGGTGTGAACCCCTCCCCTGGGTGGCCCCAGCTGCTGGTGAGAAGATGGGGCTCACTTCTGGGGCTCCCCAACCTCTTCCCACGACCAACACAGTCTGTTCCCTTCCCTCCGGCTGAACCAGGTCCTGGACAACCTGGACAGTCATCTGAAGAAGTCAGAGTACTTCCGCTTCCTGTGGTTCCCGCACAGTGAGAATGTCAGCATCATCTACCAGGACCACACTAACAAGGTGACCGCGGCCACACCCAGCTCTGCCCAGCCCTGACCCTCGCCACCCCACGCCCCTGCAGCCACCCTTCTCCTCCCGGGGTGGCTGACACTCAGGCCACCCCAACGGCCAATGCGCCGGGCTAGCACTGAGTACGAGGCGCAAGGCAGACGGGCTGGAGGTGTGGAAGAAAGATAAGAAGGCAGCCAAGTGGGGCCAGTGTGTCCCAGAGTAGGGATGTGTAGGTACAGCCAAGGGAAGGCTAGACGTAAGGCAGAGGACAGCAGAGGACAGAAATATAGGCAGGACTGAGCAGGATGGAGAAGAGTCTCAGACAGCCGGGAGAGACTGACAAAGCCTCGCACTTCCCTCATCTCCAATCTGCAACAGAAGAGAAGAGTCCTTTCCGCCCTCCCCATGTCATAGTAAGCAGGCTGCTCCTGGTGGAAGAAAGCAAAGCTATTATCAGTGTAAATGCCCATGAGCCCAGGGAACCGCTGTGTGTAGGCGCCAGCACAGAGCGCCTAAGGAGCAGTTGCTGGAACCAAGGGTGAGGACAAGCGCATGTCTTTATCTTGTGCAAAATCAGTGAGAGCACAGAGAGAGAGAGAGAGGGAGGGAGGGAGGGAGGGAGAGAGAGAGAGAGAGAATCATGAAAAGAAAGTGGTGGAGCAAGGACTAAGGCCTTCATCAATCCTGGGCGGTGGGGGGAGCGCACCCTTCTTCCTTCCTTCCTCCTCGGCTTGGAGCCACTCCCAGAACACATCTCCCTAAGAGGACCTTGTGAGAAACAGGTCAGAAGGCAGCTCAGCCTGCTGCTGAACTGATGACAAATTCTCCTTCTCAGCCACCGTCCTCTTCAGCCAGCTGGTTTTGGGACTATGCCATTGGATTCTACTTACTGGAGTTCCTTCTGTGGACCAGGTAGGAGACAATGGGGCCTTTGCATAGCATCTGCCACGTGCTGGTGAGGATGCATTCCCCATCAGAAGCGTAATGCCTTAGCCTCATGCATGCAGATGGAGTCTGTCTCCCAGGTCTAAACAGAGGTGCTCATCCCAGGGGTGCATTCAGATCACTTGGAGAGCTGAGGGTCATCATGAGGGTAGTGGAAGCCTTGGGAAGGAGTCTGAACAATGGATTCTTTTTTTTTTTTTTTTTTTTTGCTGGTCATGCGGCTTGAACTCTGGGCCTTGGCGCTGTCCCTCAGCTCTTCAGCTCAAGGCTAGCGCTCTACCACTTGAGCCACAGCGCCACTTCCAGCTTTTCCTGCTTATGTGGTGCTGAGGAATCGAACCCAGGGCCTCATGCATGCAAGGCAAGCACTCTATCACTGAGCCACTTTCCCAGCCCCAAACAATGGACTCTTTTAAAGAAGCCAGCCAGGATTAAATGAAAGCTATCTCTTTGTAGAAAAAAGAAAACTAATTTTGTACTTACTCCTACAAAAGAACTCAAATTAATAGTGCCACCCTCAGCATGAATTTCCTGCCTTTGGATATAGAAATAGGACACTAAACTGTGTCTAGCCTAAAATAATGTAAGCTGTCCAGCTGCTGTGTGCAAGTAGATTGGAAGGGAAAAGAGGGGATAGATGGAGGAGTAATTGCTACATAAGTGCACATGAACCAGGACTGATGTGGTAGTAGCAATGGAGATGAAAGGAAGGGGGTGTTGAAGGAGGATGGACGGATAGATAGATATGAAGAGATGAATATAAGTGAGTGGATGGATGGATGGATGGATAGGTGAGTGGATGGATGGATAGGTGAGTAGATGGATGGATGGAGATGAATGGGTAGATGGAGATGGAAATATGGATGGAGGTAGATGGATAGATGGTTAGATAGATGGAGATGGATGATGGATAGGTGAGTAAGCAGATGGGTAGATGGATGGATGGATGGATGGAGATGGATGGGTAGGTGGGTAGATGGATGGATGGATGGATAGGTGGGTAGATGGATGGATGGATGGATGGATGGGTGGGTGGGTGGATGATGGATGGATAGGTGGGTAGGTGGATGGATGGATGGATGGATGGATAGGTGGGTAGATGGATGGATGGATGGATGGATGGGTGGGTGGGTGGATGATGGATGGATGGATGGATAGGTGGGTAGATGGATGGATGGATGGATGGATAGGTGGGTAGATGGATGGATGGATGGATAGGTGGGTAGGTGGATGGATGGATGGATGGATAGGTGGGTAGATGGATGGATGGATGGATAGGTGGGTAGGTGGATGGATGGATGGATAGGTGGGTAGATGGATGGATGGATGGATGGATGGATGGATGGATGGATAGGTGGGTAGATGGATGGATGGATGGATGGATGGATGGATGGATGGGTGGATAGGTGGGTAGATGGATGGATGGATGGATGGATGGATGGATGGATGGATGGATGGATGGGTAGATAGGTGGGTAGATGGATGGAGAGAGATAGATGGATGGATGGGTAGAGATGGATGGATGGATTCCAAGTGTGTTAGTCAGGATATGATATTTCATTCCTGTGACAAAATACCTAAGACAGTTTTTAAAAAGAAACATTTACCGTGGCTCTTGACTTCAATGGGTCCAGTACATGAGTACATGACCCCTGGCCCCACTCCTGAGGGCCTAGGGGGAAGCAGAGCCTCACGGCTGAGAAGACAGAGTGTCGCAGAAGTGCTGGCTCACGGCAGCCAGGAGGCAGAGTCAGGCAGAGGAGCTCTGGGGAAAGAGCTGCCTTTCAGAGCAGTCCCCTGCCAGGCCCGCCCTCCTAACAGCCCACTCAGCTACGAACTGATCAATGCACTAATCCAGTGATGAAATCAACATCCTCACCAGCCAATCTCTTCCCAGAAATGCTACCCACGAGGGGCTAAGCCTCGAGCACATGAGCCCAGCATGACCCAAGCCAACTAATCTACAGATGAGAACTCACCTGCACATGTGACCAAATACAGCTCCCACAGTCTCTGAGAGACTGACCTAATGACCGTGGGCTTCTTATTGCCATAACCTGACAGAAAAGGGGTGAAAGGGGAGAGGGCACAAGCTGAGGTCTGGGCCCGGGGTACTTCCACACCTCTCCTCCGCTGAATCCGCTGCTGCCAGCCCATTCCTGTCTATGCTGTGAGCCCAGGTCTCCCCCTAGGCTCAGAGATGATGACATTTTGTCATTTCCTTTCCATGGTTATAAGGCTTTGAGTCTCAGTCTCACTCTGAGCAAGCCGCAGACACCATCAATGGTTTGCAATGTGCCCAGTGCTGATCGGATCCCAAGCACTGAGCCATGGGATCAGTTCCTGGTCTGCTTTTTAATCACTGCAACCTCCCTGGAGGGTGATTCCTTACCCATAATTTGCTATTGAGGAAATGAGCTCACTTTACGGAGGGCAGTTGATGAGTGGCTGGGAACAGACCCCTTCCCCAGGGATGAAGACCTCCTTCGCGTTGTTCTGGTGTCAGCCCTGCTACTTGAAGTCAGAACCTCACGGTCTCAGTTGGCTTTCTTTGCTCCAGGTTGGAGCTCTATCACTCGTGCCACACTTCTACTTCTAGCTTTTTGATGGAGTTAAGCGTTTCACAGACTCTCCTGCCAGGCTGATTTCAAACTGTGATTCTCATCCTCAGATCTCAGCCTCCTGAGTAGCCAGGATGACAGGTGTCAGTACTGGTGTCCAGCGCCATTAACTTCTTAATCCATATAAAAATTAAGAATAGGATGAATACCACAGTTTTCCTGGAAATTTATCTGTCAACAGCCTGCTGAAATGAAAACTCCCGCACTCTTTGCCCCAACAAGCTGGTAAAGCTTTGAGACATAGACATTAGTGACAGATGACGAGACACTGAAAATTGTCCAGATAGTTATGAACGATGGCTGCTGACTCAACCCAGCAAGCGGGAGAAGGAGTCACAGCCATGCTGGTTGGTCTCCCGACCGAGAGCAAGGCCTAGGTTTGGAAAGACCCCAGCCCAGTGCCTGGCACACAATGGATACCAGGTGTTAGTGATCTGCTCCTTCATCCTGCCCACCGCCTCCCTGCCCTGTGCCCCACAGCACCTTCTTGCCGTTCCTTGTCTCCTGGATCAACCGCTTCTTCTTCTGGCTGCTATTCACCCGCAAGAGGGAGAACAGCCATGTGAGCCACAAGATCTTCACCTATGAGTGCCGCTTCAAGCAGCATGTCCAGGACTGGGCCATCCCCAGGTAGGGTCGGGTCCCAGGCCACCAAGAGGAGGAGGCAAGCTGGAGTCCGAGCCTTGTCACCGGGGAGGCTGGGAGCTCAGGCAGAAGCCGGGGCCAGGCATTTGACATCCCTGTCCCACCCTGATGTCTGCATTCTGATGGCTTGGGCTGAGGGCAGAGAGAAGACCAAGGAGGCCCTGCTGGAGCTAAAGAACATGCTGGAAGCTAACCCTAAGGTGGTGGCCCATTACCCTGTGGAGGTGCGCTTCACCAGGGGTGATGACATCCTGCTGAGCCCCTGCTTCCAGAGGGACAGCTGCTACATGAACATCATCATGTACAGGTGACAGGCCCACTGCCGGGGAGGGGCGGAACCATCATGTACAGCTGACAGGCCCACTGCCGGGGAGGGGCGGGACCATCATGTACAGGGGACTGACAGGCCCACTGCCGGGGAGGGGTGGGACCATCATGTACAGGTGACTGACAGGCCCACTGCAGGGGAGGGGCGGGACCATCATGTACAGATGCTGACAGGTCCACTATCGGGGAGGGGCGGGATCATCATGTACAGGTGACTGACAGGCTCACTGCCGGGGAGGGGCGGGATCATCATGTACAGGTGACTGACAGGCCCACTATCTGGAAGGGGCGGGATCATCATGTACAGGTGACTGACAGGCTCACTGCTGGGGAGGGGCGGGATCATCATGTACAGGTGACTGACAGGTCCATTGCCGGGGAGGGGCGGGACCATCATGTACAGGTGACAGGCCCACTATCGGGGAGGGGCGGGATCATCATGTACAGGTGACTGACAGGTCCATTGCCGGGGAGGGGCGGGACCATCATGTACAGGTGACAGGCCCACTATTGGGGAGGGGTGGGACCATCATGTACAGGTGACTGACAGGCCCACTGCCGGGGAGGGGCGGGACCAAGGTGGAAGCTGTCCCCTCCACTTTCCCAACTTTCACTGCCAGCTCAGGTGCCATCTTCTGATCCTGGCATCTGGACACCATCTCTCCCCTTTTCTAAGATCTCCTTCTGCCTCCCTTTAAGAGCAACCTTCCTCTCGCTCACTGTTAGCTCCAGCATCTCAGTCAAATAAAAGAAACTGCTGAGGAGCCCAGGGGACAGTTCAGGGATGCACAGCTCCTCGGAGAGCCTGGGAAGACTGAGGGAAGTGGGCTTAATTGGTAGAAGCTGTGTGGAGAGGCTCATACCCCAGCGGTGTTGTGGTCTCTGTGTTTATCTTGTCTACCTGTGAATGCAGACCCACATGAGAGAAAGCTGTTGTGTGGATGCATCACAACATGCATATATGATTTTTTTTTAATGAAGTCAGTTCTCACACCAGGAAGACTGACTGGTAGCATCTAGTAGGTTGTGTGGTCACATTTTTCCAGGCATTCAACGAGTTGATCAAGTTCACATTCAGATTCCAATTAGATAATGGGAGAGGCACACATTGTCAGAATCCTTTGGAGAGGCGTGGTGAACTGAAGATCTCCAGTGCGGTGTCTGCTGCCCTAGCCTATAGGCAGAGCTAGCCCGCCCTCCCC